TTACGCAATCTAACCCACAAGCCTCTATTATGAATAATATTGGTAGCGAAAGCCTACGTGCGAAACTAAATATGCCATTCGCATGGGTTTTTGCGGCTGTGTTTAAAAAGCCCTCCCGATGCGTTTGTGCGTTCGACGGCGTGCAGCTCCGCATGATTGCACAACGTTTCCAAGCCACGTGGCAGGAGCTTTTTCGGTAACTGAATGTCTAAATTCATCGTAAATGTAAATAAGCCGCTCGCAATTGTGGGCTTCTAAAGAACTCTGGATAAGTGGAAGACACACGCTTTCTGCTTACTAGATCGTCGAATTTCAGCTGCTAAATTTAAGTTTAATGCCGTGGTTTTGCCGTTGGCATTTCGAACTCAAAGAACAATGAATGCTCAATATAATCTCATAGACTGTTCGGGCAAGTGCTGTTATTGAGCACCTATAAAGGCGTGAACAAAACACAAGGCAGTTTGTATTGGAAGCATCATGCCCAGCTGATTTGTTTTCCAGGTGCGAATGTCTTGCAACTGCATTGGTGCTTATTTCACGATGCTCGAGTTCACCAGAGATGTATTCGCCGTGGCTGGGAATCGAACCCATGTTGCTGGGTTTGTTACCTCACCACTGTGCCGCCACTCCACGATTTTAATTTTGCAATTGCACACACCAAAATCACAAGTGGCATGCGTGGCGACATGTCGGTAGTGTATTCGCAATTTTTAAAATAAATGTTCAAAACGATCGCACCCCATGCCCACCTACTCACACCCCAGTCCCCCCAATAATTTGTTAAATGTGCCCAACGATGCTAAACATTGGAAAAATCACGGATTACGGCTCACTTGAGCTGGGCCAACTGATTGGGGTCAAGAGGGGCGATCATTTTGAAGGGATTTCAGCGGCGTTTAAGACAGTTCTGCAAATGAACTACAGCATACGCCTCAGCTGCTGACTGAACTATATCGACAGTTCCGCAAAGATCAATGGCAATGCATAACTGGGCATCTGTTAGTAGGGTAAACGTGTCTACAGCAAATCTGGTGGCTTTTGAACGCTGGTAGTGGATTATGATTCGTCATGCCAGCAATACGTTATTACAATATTGTATTTATGAATAATGGAAAGGCAATTTTTTTTGTATCCGCTGTCAAATCAAGATTTTCACTCCGCGTCGAGTCAAGAGCATTGTTTAACCATACTTCACCGCGTTGATCAGTGCTGGTTGCTGAGGAGAGGGGGCTCGGGACCAGTTCAAACATTGCTCTCCACTCGTTAGCCGTGGCCGTGAATCGGACTCCGTTCGCTGGGTTCTGGGGTTCTTAACCTTTAATGGTTCTCAATCGTAATTTTTGTTTTTCTATGTTAATAAATACATCGCTTTGGTGAAAAAAAGTAGTTGTACTTACGTGCCCGTGCATAGTCTTGTGTTTTCGATGATTTACCTTCTAAATAAATCTGGCCACGTCTCGCACCTCCAGGGGGCGCGTGCACCCCAGGTTAAGAACCGCTGGCAGGGTTCATAGCACGCTACGCTAACCACTGTGCTGCCACTCCATCACAACAATGATAATGAACACATTCCTGCGGAGGGAGCTGGTAGGAACGTTGCGTTGCTCGGTCAATGGCCGGGGTCAACGGCGGCGTGGTGTATTCCGCAAATATGTCCGACTGTGAGGGCGAGCACAAGCCGGCGTGAGTAGGTTAAACGTTGAGTTTTATAAGGGCACCACGGGGTGACCAGCCCCTCCCCACCCAGCCCCACCATCCCCACCCAGCCCATCCCCACCCTCCCCTCCCCACCCAGCCCCTCCCTCCCCACCCAGCCCCTCCCTGCACGACGGACACAATAATCCCCTGTGGGCTGGTGTAACCAGGCGGTTCCTACCAGTATAATGTCCACGTACCTGGGAAAAGTATCGCTGAATCTCAAATACTGTACTTTGTTTTTGGAAGGGTCCTTCAATTTGATGTTTTGCTAATTCTGTCAATGAGTGGAATGTGGGAGAGAATCGGAGTGCTCGAGACGTAAAGATCTGCACAGATGGGTTAATGAACCTACTTGCCATATTGCCATCGTCTGATCACACCACAGCCCGGCAGTTTTGAGAGTTTCACAAATCGACGTTCGCCACCAACCATTCCCCTCCAATGTGCTGGGATCGTGGCCAAAGTGCTGAATCAACGTATGTGTACGCATGCGAAGTTAGCGTTATGATATTAAAGCAACTAAATCAAAGTTTAATGGAACTTGCAAAAACATGGTATGTCACGTCATTTCTTGGTTAAAAGCGTGCCGTTCTGATGCTGGAGATCGTTTTGCGAATTGCATAAGAGGCCGTCCATAAATGACGTCACGCGATTTTGGACGATTTTGGACGATTTTTGACCCCCCCCCCCCCTCGTCACACGGCGTCACCAAAAGTCAGACCCCCCCTCAAATATGACGTCACAAAGCTCTGCCCCCCCCCCCCAAAAAAACATGCTTCAAATCGCTTTAAACTATTGTCATTGTAGTGCGTATTTAATGTGGCGCTGCACTCTGATGTTGTAGGAGAAAACATTTAGTAAAAAAGTCTATTTAATTAAGTAGAACGTGTTGTCTATATTTATTTAAAGTTGCGCATTTTGATGTGACGTCACATTTCTCAAAGCCCCCCCCCGCCCCCCTAGTCACACATCGTCACAAATGTCTGACCCCCCCCCCCCTAGGTGCGTGACGTCATTTATGGACGGCCCCTAAGTAGGATCCAGCAGCTCAAATATTGTCCCCGCCTTATCTTTCACACACAAGGCAAAGCCACGTTTCAGTGTACATGGCAGTTTACTGGTTTAGGCTTCTTCAATGACAGCCACTGAAATACAAATCATGAAATCAGGGTTTAATTTTCAACCAAAGCTGTTCATGACTGAGCACCGGAAACAAATCTCCTAGGTCTGGGATTGGAAGGCCCTGGAACTTATTTAATGAGAAATTTAACCATGCATGAAAGTGTTGTTTTGCATTAAGATGAGTCCAGCACAGCTGCATAGGAATTATATTATGTAGAAGAGAAAAAAAATTTTCATTACAAATAATGCCATGTGGATCGTGGGGGGTTATATGGTCATACTTCACCATTATGGTCAGTGTTGGTTCGTGATGTGGGGTGGGCCTCAGGACCGACTCAAACATCACTCGCCAATGACGTGAGCCACTGTTAAGATCCACACTCGGGCTCGAAGGACCACTGCATCAACCCCCCTTCCCCCCACAAACAACATATATACCCCGCAAAACATTTATGTACGTTGAATTTCTTTCACACTATACGTAGCCAACCCTGCTCATCGGAGAGGCGCATCAGACAATGTGTATATCATGAGCTGAAGAATAAATATGAATCCGTAATTTAATTAATCATGCCACCCTGAAGAGGTATTGAAATATTGCCGACTGTGTGAGACCAACCCGGTGGTGAAATGCCAACGAATGGATGAACAACAACAGAGAGGCAGCCAAGAGCGTACAGAACGATGGGATCAAGGCGCACGTGAGCCAAATCGCAACTACACAATGTTCTATGTAATGGCATTGATAGGGGGTAGACCTTCATTTAGCCTGATGACGAGGATAACGGTTATTGCCATTAATGGCCATTAAAACTAAAATGATAACGTTACACAGCAGCATTTTTAATTCCGTGTGAACATTCTTTTTCTAGGAAGAAGCAAAACACAGAAATGGTCCAGATTTTTGGTCGTATTTATTTGTGCTTGTGGGTTTCGAAATAATTTCCCAGAAGAACGTAACGGGGTTATAATAAATGGGGATCCCTCTATAGCCCACACGTTCCTTTGTCCTTGACAGCAGAAATATTTCAAGTGGGTGTCGTTTTGCTCTCTCCCAGCTCGCCTCAGTCACTGTTCCACTCTGCTGCATGAGCTATAGTTCCTTTTTTAGCGAATTTGTATTGCCGATATACCACGTAATTTACTTGAATCGTAAAAGGTTTCATTAGCCATGGCATGTGGTCATTATAAACGTTCAACCTAGCATTTTACTCTTTTCCTCTCCCTCCATCATTGGGAGCTGGGCTTCCTGAAGCCTCCACACTTTATTAATGTGAATGTACTTAGGTGTGCCGGAAAGCCACACCGAGTCGTACGACTTGCATTCAAAATATCCCGTATTTGTTTATGTTTTCCGCCGATCAATGACGAGTTGGAGGATGAGTGGAAGGAAACCGAAGCACCCGCAGAAAGTCCACGGCTCGCGCGAAGGAGGGGGCAACACTCTATCCCCGTACAGATTGGAAACAGATGGGAAATGAGTCCACTCGCTACACCACCTCCTACTAACAAATGCAGCTGTGCACGCTGAATTTGCTTTATCACACTGGGTAGCAACCGAGTGTACAGGTGGTGGAATTGCTCCAGGGACCGCAGTCCGATAATTAGCCCAAAGAGCCAGGTGCAATGTATACCTACACGCTACACCAGGATAGGAAGAGGACTGGAAGATTGGGGGGTGGGGGGGGCACTGGTCATTGGCAAGGGGCAGAGCACCACCGGCTTTAGGCGTGGGCAATGTGTCCATTTCTCGAGGGTGGTTTGGGTTATTGGCTATGGTTTCATGAGGGTGTAACTTTAGTTCTGGTTAGTTAGGAATAGCGTTAGAGAGGTTTAGGGTTAGTCAGGGTTAGTCAGGTTTGGGGTTAGGGCTCGTAAGGACTAGGGTTCGTCAGAGTGAAGGTTAGTTAGGGTCGGCAATGTCAAGTGCACATGGCGTGCTCATCACGTGGTGCTCCTGTTAAAAGCGTTCCCTCGATCTGAGCAGTTGCAGTCAGACAACCGGCTACATTCGGTATGAATAGCCTTTGCCTACATCGTTGGGAGACGTGATGGGGGCAGCGAGAGAACATGGGCCACCACCCCCTCGTATCATTCCGAGCACCAAGGTCCATGGCAGCCATGCTAAGACTTGTGGCTGCCAACCGTCATCCATCTCAACATTTAAGCGGAAAAAGGTCCCTTTTGGTAAAACCTTTATTTAATCGATATATCCCCACACCGACCTATTGCTAGCAAACAGCAACACATGTAAACCATTGCATATTAAATGTTACGTTTAAATGTACTGTGTGAGTTGTCTTTTTTAGTTTGTTGTCCTTCTCCGCACCTCCAATTGACACGATTGGCTACGTGCAGTGCGAACGAGGTTGAACATTCGTCTATGCCGTACCACGAGCATTCATCTCTGGAAAAGCATGTGCTGAGACCGAATATCTAAATTATCTGTATGACCAGAGGCACTGAAACGTTATTGTTGTTGTTTTGGTTTAAAATGCCCACAATGTTACAGTTAAAACATCTTAAGTTATTCTTTTGAATAGCTTATCGTGCAAAGAAATTAGGACCACAAAAGTGTTTTCAATGTTAGAACACCGATTAGTTCCTATTATGGCCGACTAAAAAAAAATCAACAAACAGAAAGAATGTGTTGCCATCTGCTGGCAGGACAGAGTATAATAGAGTGCTGTTCTGTATATAGAATTATTACTCTTTGGTTCTTTCGGTAAAAGTCACGTAGGTATAAAATAAAATAGATCACGACGTTTCGGGCACAACACAAGCGTCCGTCATCATATGGGAAAACCCGAAACGTCGTGATCTATTTTATCTTATACCTACGTGACTTTACCGAAAGAACCAAAGAGTATGGATTCCCGCAGTCACGAAAGCTTCAAATCAATAAAGAATTATTATTCGCAAGGCAAAAGATTTAAAGTATATCCATTTCGTGGACTATGTACAGTAACAACATCTGCTTGAGCCCTTCTGCTTTCTTTTCTCCGTGCTTTCTTGAGCAGGTGAGCCAGGCTCCTGACCTGTGGGTAAAGTGGAATACAACAAGAACGTCAGCCATGAAGACAAACATACGGCGGAATTTTCACCGATCTCGAGCCGGTGTGTCTCTCTCTGAATGCAGGGCACGCATTGTGCCTCCCAATAATTGTTTTTATTTGCGGGGACATTGCATTGTGGCTTCCTAGAAAAGAACAACAAATGACCGACAATTAATCTAAATTGAGTTCATCGCTTTCCACAGTCACGCAGGTGACTTCAGAAACTTATTTGTATAGGTGTGAGCATTTACCTGACCCTCGCAGCTCCCTGCAAAGCGGCCCTCTCTCACATATAAATTTTGTGCACCCACGATTCCTAATGGGTGGGACAAAGCGAACCACTGCCTCTAAAAATATAGAAGTCAAACTCCGCCTATGGTTTTAAACAATATTACAATAAGGCACCTTGAGCATATGCCTCTCTTTAATAAAGGTTAATTGTGGCTCATTAACAACGCCTTCCCTAGATCTAACACTGAAAGAACACGAGTGTTTTTCATTATTGGGTGGAAGTATTGTGACAGGTGGTGCGTGTACGTTTTAACGGAGGAAACGTTTCTATCCAAAAATCATGCTGATCTTTGGAAACTGAAACTTCAAAGTGAGGCGTTTGCGATATTGCACTGTTACAGAGTTTTTAATTCACCTTTTTTGGCTGAACAAGTGCAATATATATTTAAACCAAATAGGATGGATACAAATATAGGCCTTCCAAAAGAATTGTCCTGCGTGTGAAGATAATAATTTTAATTCAATAAATGCATTTAGGATTACGATTAATATTCTTAGGTTTTTTCGGTAAAGTCACGTAAGTAAAAAATTTAAATTAATAAAAGTAAAATAAAAATAAAATAAAAATCACGACGTTTCGGAGGCAACACAAGCTTCCGTATTCAGGTGAAGCTTGTGTTGCCTCCGAAACGTCGTGATTTTTATTTTATTTTTATTTTACTTTTATTAATTTGAATTTTTTACCTACGTGACTTTACCGAAAAAACCTAAGAATATGAATCCTTGCAGTCACGAAAGCTTCAAATCTAGGATTACGATTAAAGCAATGCTCAGATTGTAGCAGATGCTGCAGTGGTGTGTAATGGTTAGCAGCACACTGAGCTTGCAATCCAGAGGTCCTCGGTTCGATTACTCGGCTCAGCAGTTGAAACTATGGGGGAAAGTTCCTTAAATCTTCCCTGCCTAGGAGTATAAATGGGTACATCGGTGAGTTCAATTTCGATTTAAAGCTTTCGTGACTGCAGGGATTCATCTTCTTGGTTCTTTCGGTAAAGTCACGTAGAAGGGAAATAATAAAATAATAAAAATTCTTAAAAATAAAACATAATAAAATAATTCTCACGACGTTTCGGCCACAACGCAAGCAGTCTTTCCGACAGACCTGTTCTTCACCTGAGGACGGCTGCTTGCGTTGTGACCGAAACGTCGTGAGAATTATTTTATTTGTATTATTTCACTTCTACGTGACTTTACCGAAAGAGCCAAGAAGATCGGTGAGTTCATTAGCAGGTCTCCTTTGGTGGGGTAAAGACGTTTGCCCAGCATGGCAGCATCGGCCAAACAAACCTATAGAGGGCACTCGCGAGCACCCTCTTCGTGTAGAGGCTTCCACCAGCAATGGCATGAGCAAAAAATTGTAGGGCTGCCCCATTAGGATTTCCCTTTTTACACGCTTTCTTTCGTTGTTGTTGTATCCTCAAATCTTGTAACTCAATTTTAACCCACTTCCCAATGTGGTTATCGACTGCAAACTTGGTATACTTATGTCATACTGATGACAATACTATATTCTATCATAAAAAATATATATTTTTTAACATTCTTCTTTATATGTTATGTTTCAACTGGGGTCTAATTGTCCACAGTCATCTGACGTTGGCTGTAAATGACCATGGCCTCTTACGTTGTGGCAAGCTTCGGGGCCACTTCCTGGAATTGTGGAGTTCTGCAATTACTAGTACATTAATAAAAGCGTGTTTAAAAAAAGTTTTTTTTAATATTACTTATCTTTCTTTCAAGTTCAGGTACTGCTTAACCCTGTCACATCCGATTCCGTTCTGGAATCAGATTTTTTATTATTATATATTTATCGTTACATCTTCAGGTCGGAAGACGTACCCGAGGCTCTGACAAGGCCATGCGGGAGGGCGCATGGCACAGTCTGGCACCAGCTATTATAGAAGTTCTCTGCGGTGAGTACACCGTCTTTAAAAACAACGGCGCTATGCCTCTCCAAATAAGATGAACGCTGAACCGCTTGCAGGTTCCGGACATTCAGCGGTGAACGAGACACCCCACCAACTTCCAGATGTCTCGGAGCGGGAAAGGATTACTGCGCGGGGAAAATGCAAATGCATTGGAGCAAAAAACCCACCTGTTGCATCCACGTACGCACCAGGCCGCCCCCACCCCCCACCGCATAGCCTCTCTGGGCTCAGCCTTGCCACTGTCTTGCAGGATGTCCGGCCGCGGGGGCAGGAGGCGGAGGGTGCGGGTACTGCCCATAGTTGGCATTGGGGGGGACGTAGTAGGTGGGCTGGTGGGGATAGAGAGTCTGGTCCCCTGGAAACGCCTCTCTGTTATGAGGCTCTTGGACTGCACAGAGGGAACAAGAAAGCGGTTGCGTCGTTGTGCAAATTTGCAGCACGTTGATTAATTACTCACAAACTACTAAACCGTTTGACTTGCATCCCACTGGGATTTTTGCACACAGCGTTGGTGTATGGTGTTTTTTCTGCAATATTTTGCTGTCTTTTCTTGGATTTTCTGTTTGCACTTAGTCACATATTCACTTTAAGATGTTTTCTTGTTCATGTTTTAGTTTTTTGTTTGTTGCGGTTGCACCCGATTCAAGAGCCGAATGGCTCACAGGGCGATACCTAATAAATGAACTTGAACTTGAGAATTTTTTAAAATAGAGCAACATCACCCCCTGCTGGCGAGCTTTTGCCAGTTTTAAGGCAGGCGCTGCTTACACCTTGTGTCTCAGAGACAGCTGCCACTGTGGGGATTTCCATGAATAATCTGCAGCAGGGCAACGAAATAGTTGCGATGACGTGTGATGCAAGGCGCTTCAAGTTGTTGAGCCATTTCAATGCAATACAGTAAATACAAATCCTTATCCTCACGTTTTGTTTCAACTTGGCATGTTAAAATTCTGGGGGTGGCGGCAATGCAATTTCTGTAATCCGGCACTGTGGAGGCGAGGGTTGGTGGACCTCAAGTTGAAAATAGTATTCAGTTTAAAACGTAGACTTTCGCGACCAATATCATCCTTAATAGTGTTTTTTTGGGTTATATCGCAATGATAAAAAATTTCGTTAAACCCGCCACCACCCGACACAGCCAATTAGTAAGGTTTGTCACGTAAACAGAACGTGCCAATTCGTTACTAGTACAGCACACCGGTGTGTTGGAGAGCAAATCCACAACATTTTGTTCGTGTTAAAAACGCAAGGTTCAAAAATACACATATATTTTTTTACCATTAAATTGTCTAAGGTAAATCAAAAGTAAATAGTTATTTAGTCGGTAAGCGATCTCTTTATATTTAATATTTTTTTAAGTCAACGTGATCCCAACCTCCAGCCATGCAGGAGGCGGGGAGGATGATGCAATGTTCCCATGACCACTCGGATGCAAGCTGATCTGGTGTACGGACCTGGCAAGTGCGTCTGGCACGCGATTCACAGTGCGACGTTACCAGTCCTAGCAGACGAATAAATTTTTTTCGGGCTGCGTGGTCCCCTAAACGAATGGAGCTGCACGGTTAAACACGGGCTGCCCTCGGAACCAGTTGTGAGGTCACACGGTTAGTACAGAAGGGACACCCAGTCAATGGAATACTCGCCAAGGTCAACTTCAAGACTGTGTGTTTTTTTCATAGAAAAATTTAAGATGGAAGTGACAAACGGAATAGATTATTGCCTGTGACCGTGTAAGCTAACCCCAGAATGCATTAAACCTTGAAAAATATTAAAAAATGGCACGAGGGGGTAGGTAGGATGGAGGGGAAGGGACCAATCCCAAGGAGGTGCACGGCTTTTATAATTAAATACAAACATGGCAAACATGTACACGTACAATAGGTCATTGCTTAGACTAGCATAATTGAATCCAAGCATATGTAAAAGATTAATTCATAATAAGTGCTTTTTACATTAACCTCTAAGTGCCACTTCCTGCCACTCCCTGCTCCGTTATGGATGCACATTCCTTTTAAGGCCCAAGACTGGAAAATTGGTCACGAAATCCTCCGTGTTAAATTTATGTTAAACCGTATTTAAATAAATACATCGAGTGGGAGGGGGTTTTGGGTGATGGATCCGGACAGGCCATAGGGCAGCAGTCCATCGGGCAAATTGCTGGTGGGCCGGTCAATTTCCAGGGCCGGTGGGCTGTGGGAAAATTGCAAATGTGATCAGAGTCAAAAATATATATACCTATTATTATTTTTATATTTCACTGCCTCTGTGTATGCTTCATTGCTTATTTACGCTTTCAGTTGGCATCGAGTCCCATATTCGGCAGCCCTAAAGAATCACCGGCCCATCTGTTTGTTGGACGAGCCCAAGTGGGTCAATGAGATCGCGCGGCAAAACCACGCCAATAAGTTACATCGTAAATCCTGCTACGAGAGTACAGTTTGTCTCACAACCCATTGAAACATTTTAATAAATGATTTCCCATAGCCCGAATTTGGGCCGGTTTGTTTAAAAATGCCTGGCACGATTTTTTGTCCCAGTCTTGGTCACTGGGAGGAACCCAATCCACAGAGCCACACAGCTTTTGAAGCTGGGTCGCCGTTGGAACATGCAGGGCTCGCGCTTGCCCTCCATCGATCATGGAAATGCAGCACGAGCCTCGCAGTTCATCAACGGTGGGAGGAGGAGATGAACCCGGGCCGGCATGCATCTCGTGAACCATTCCTGGGCTTGAAGAAGTTCTGGTTCCCCTATGGTCGTGGAAGAAGATGCATCGGAGGGGGAGGTCGCCCTCCTCCCGGGGGGGTCTTACTGTGCACGAATGCGTAGGGTTGCTGCCGGTGGCGGTAGTAGTAGCAACAGGAGCAGCAGCGGCAGCAGATGAGGACCACAAGCAGGAGCATCAGGACTCCGACTCCCGCCACGATGCCCAAGAAAACGCCCGATCTTGGGAGATGAAATAAAAGTGAAGGTGATGAGCAATGAGATGCTGCTCATCTCTTTTTTATTGCCACTCGTGAACATTCCACATTCCTATGGCGGGGGGGGGGGCGAGTCTTTACATTTGACAACCAACGTTGACTTCCCCACAAAATGATGTTTATTGTATCATCTCTGGACGATGGGCTGAGTAACCCCCCCCCCCCCCTTACGGAATGTGAACTCGCAACCTTCCGATTGCAAGCCGCTCGCTCCATCACCGAGCCACCTGGTGGAGGAATTTTACGTTTTCACTTACCGTTTAAAATTAAGTTCTCCAGGGTGGAATATTAACATCACTATGGGCTAATGAAACGGTTGTTTCTAGAATTTGCCCAACGAGAGCCTCGTCTTTGTCACTACTCCTTTCCTTGTTTTCAACTAATCAAATGCAGGACACACGTATCCGGCTCGCAGCCCACACTCGTCGTGGGCTGCGAGCCAATCTCCCCTCCTTCTCTCAAACTCAGGTGCCACTGCGTTTGGGACGTGTGTCCGCGGAGTTTCTGTACCTCCTCCCTACGTCGTGAGTTATGCTCTGTATTGGGCTCTGATTGAAATATCATTTGAAAAAAATATATTTTTAAATACAGGGGCCGTTCATAAATGACGTCACGCACCTAGGGGGGGGTGGTCAGACATTTGTGACGATGTGTGACGAGGGGGGGGGGGTTTGAGAAATGTGACGTCACATCAAAATGCGCAACTTTAAATAAATATAGACAACACGTTCTACTTAATTAAATAGACTTTTTTACTAAATGTTTTCTCCTACAACATCAGAGTGCAGCGCCACATTAAATACGCCCCACAATGACAATAGTTTAAAGCGATTTGAAGCATGTTTTTTTTTGGGAAGGGGGGCAGAGCTTTGTGACGTCATATTTGAGGGGGGGGTCTGACTTTTTGTGACCCCGTGTGACGAGGGGGGGGGGGTCAAAAATCGTCCAAAATCGCGTGACGTCATTTATGGACGGCCCCACAGGACGTCGCATGTTGTCCGACTGTCACACATCCACCCTGTCCAATTAACTGCCCCCCACCCAGTTCATTATTTGTGTAGTCGTAGCTGTCATCTTGTGGTTGGGGAGCGATAGTCTAGGGGGTTAGCGGACTGCGCTACAAACTCGGCAGACCCGAGTTCAATTCCCGCTCACGGCCAACAACGGTGACAAATATCTGAACCGGTCCTGGTGGGCGTGGGCCTCTCCAAGGTCGACTCAACCTCAAATGAGTGCGGTGTGTAAACATGGCCACTAGAGAGACAAAGGCGGACGGGTATTGTGCTGGCCACCCACCCCCCTCTCGTGTGCTGTGCCGGCCTTCATAGGTGCTACTCGCTAACAGCACTTGCCCCAACAGTCTGTTAAGGCTGTATGAGGGATCTTTGTCATTGGATGTTCACAATTTCAATCTATTCACAATCAGTAATGTTATTTTTAACCTTTAATAATTAGCTTCCTCTGAAAGCATGGTAAAGCATATTCGCGTGTGTGAAGCAGTCTGCTCTTTTACTTTGATCAAGTCAGCTTATTTATGCACGGTGTAACTGTCATTTTCTATAGATGTTCACATATCAGGCCTTTCGACATATTCGCATATAGGTAAAGTCCCCCAACGAGTTGGATTCAGCCCAATGTGCTGCATATCAAAATCTTAAAACTCAACCTAAAATAAAATAAGTCAAAATATGCACGAATAATTTGTCATTTGTAACGTGTTGGTAATGACCCTGCTTCATATGTTCTGTAGAAGGATCACTTATATTTTAAAATGTGTTGTGTTTTTGTTATATGTGCTTAAGCACAATTTCAAACGCAGTATCACAAAAAAATGTGTAAAGTGCCATCGGCAATATTATTGGTTAATGTTGTGTTGTGTATACAACGGCACAAGCTGTCAAGAAGTTGTCCTGCGATCTCACGTGCAGCGCTAACAAACCTCATATGGAACATGTTGCAGATCTCCTGATGAAAGTCACTGATGCGCAGGCTGTTAGTGATGCAGCAGTAGACACCGTTGCAGTCACCGCAGCAGAAGGTTGGCCAGATGCATGGGATCTCAGGGATGTACATCCCCTCCGCCATCTGATGAGCCAGGCAGTTGCCATCCCCCCAGGCCACACCTGTCAGGAACATTCCAGGTTCTTAGTGCAATTGCAATAAAAAAAAACATTGAGAGATGCACGCTTGGAATTCAAGAGGCAGAAAGGGGAAACCATTGATTCGAGAACGCATGCCGGTTAACAAAATCATGATATCTATTGAGACGGGTAAGCGGGCTTGGGCAGGACACATACTCTTAGTTTTTTCGGTAAAGTCACGTAGGTAAAAAATTTAATTAAAATTAATAAGAAATAAAATGATATTTTATTAAATAATATTTTTATTAATTTTAATTATATTTTTTACCTACGTGTAAAGTCACGTAGGTAAAAAATGAAATGAAATTAATGAAAATAAAATAATATTTAATAAAATAATATTTTTATAAATTTTAATTTCATTTTTTACCTACGTGACTTTACCGAAAAAACTGAGAGTGTGAATCCATGCAGTAACGAAAGCTTCAAATCTAGAATTGGGTAGGACACGTCGCTGTAAGGGACGATGGATAAGAATAATAACGGCGGCAGCAGCAGAGGAATGGAACGTGTCCAAGGGTATGTCCGCCGTGGAGATCGAGCGATGAGATCGGTCGAGTGCAGGTGCAGCATCGCGGGGTCGTGAGAAGTGGAGGCGGCATGGGGAGGCCTTCATCCAGCAGTGGGTTGATCATGGCTGATGGTCATATACTATCCTCATAAGAGGATAGTATATGACCAAATGTGCAAACCAACAACGTAACAAACATATTCTTGGTTCTTATTCATATTCTTAGGTTTTTTCGGTAAAGTCACGTAGGTAAAAAATTAAAATTATAAAAGTAAAATAAAATAAAAATCACGACGTTTCGGAGGCAACACAAGCTTCCGTCTTCAGGTGGAACCGTCACAGCCCGACAGCTGTATCAAGTACTTGATACAGCTGTCGGGCTGTGATAATTTTTTACCTACGTGACTTTACCGAAAAAACCTAAGAATATGAATCTCTGCAGTCACGAAAGCTTTAAATCAAAACGTAACAAACAATTGAATTTAATTCATTATTGGATGTTTTCGTGTTAAACAGGGCCCCATCTTCAAAATGAAGTTTCCTCACCATTAGTGTCTGGCACCTAATTCGTATTTGTTGTTAACAAGCCTGACTGAATGTCAAAACTGGCCCAGAGCTTGTTGAAACAGATGTCGGTGGATAACACTGATTGGGAAAGGCCGTGAGTCGTTAGACTAAAACACATACATTGTATTTTCTTACAGAGAGACAAAGAGATATATGCAGTATTCAATTACACTGGTCAACACACGTTTTCTGGCATAAGGTTTTAAGGTAATTTTGGGGTGATGATTCCAAATCTGACATCAGTTTTTGTCTATCACATCAGGTTGTTGAGATATCAAATATTGCATTTTCAATAAAAACTGCAGAAGAAAAATATTAATTAAATGTGGATATCTACATAAAATGATATTATAAACACACTATCCTAAAAATACAGCACCATATTTTAACACTAAAACAGTCACTGACTCGCAACAACTTGCAATCATAAGTGACAGAGTTAATTTCGGGTAAAATCAATGAAAATGGGGTATGCCGATAGCATAAAAATGAGATGTGATAGAGCAAATCTGAGATCAGATTTGGAATCAGCACCCTGAAATTAGTCTAAAACAGCTGCAAAAAGTCCAGTCCAGAAAAAAAAATTGTTGACCAGTGTCATTAATCATATTAACGCCCAACTTTATCCGTGATGAATATGATGAACGCTGCACTTCCCGTCGTTTTCACGCAGGGGGCGCTGCAAACCTACACGTGCCCTGTGCATGAACGACGGAGGCGCAGGAACAGACGTTCGATTACGTTTGAATCGATCTGCTGACGGCGGTCTTCTCGCACGGCCAGCAGCTCTGTGTCAAGTTTAAAGTGTATTTATTAGGTATAGCCCTGTGAGCTATTCGGTTCTTGCAAACAGAAAATCCAAGAAAAAGACAGCAAAATATTGCAGAAAAAGCACCGTACACCAACACTGTGTGCAAAAATCCCAGTGGGATGCAAGTCAAACAACAACAACAACCACAAGACAACTTAGATTAAGGCCATCCGTCTAACTCTGTACTACAACAAACAAACATGGCCAAACCAAAAAACTTTTCGAAAATCACCAAAATAAAGCCATAAAAGCAATGAAACAGTGGTCATAGGAACTGTGACCGAATTTTCACAATAAACGACGTAAACAACATGTACTACCAAACTCTGCAGCCATATCTGGCTGCATGAGTCACCTTATCTTGATCCCGCAAACCCAAACAGGTGAAAGTCCGCATCGAACCGAACCCCCATCAAGGACATCTACTTAACGACGAGAGAAAATTAACACGAAATGTCGTTTTCAATTAAGTCTTCCAGATGTAAAATGATGTTTATATATAAACAACTTTCTCTATCTTCTTGGTTCTTTCGGTAAAGTCACGTAAAATGGAAATAATAAAATAATAAAAATAAAACATAATAAAATAATTCTCACGACGTTTCGGCCACAACGCAAGCAGCCGTCCTCAGGTGAAGAGCAGGTCTGTCGAGAAGACAGACTCTCGCCGAAACGTCGTGATAATTATTTTATTATGTTTTATTTTTATAATTTTATTATTTCCATTCTACGTGACTTTACCAAAAGAACCAAGAAGATGAATCCCTGCAGTCACGAAAGCTTTAAATCGAAATATAATCACCTTCCTGATGGTAATCACCTTCCTGATGGTAATCACCATAATAGTGGTAATCCATCAATGTCATAATCATATCATAATCTTGTTTTGTCTTCTTCATCATTGCTGTCACCGTGATGTGTACGTGGGCCTCGTAAAGGTTTGAGAGCAGCCAGTTCTTGCTCCAAATTTTACAAACAAATGCGTGGAAAACGCATGAACTTGTGTGGAATGGGCCTCCACCTTGCCCTGTTCCAGTGCTTTCTCTATCTGTCTATGATGAACGCTGAGAGAGAGAACGAGGCGATTCGGTGTTGATTCCCAAAATCCACTTGGCCCCCACCGACACGACTTTGCCATTTGTTTTGCGACGACGACAATTTCCCATTCTCCCCGCATACGCTATCACAATCAACAAGTCGCAGGGACAGACGTTCCATTACGTTGGTAAGCGCACAACTTTATCTAACTTTCTATGATGCTCTTACTCTGCAGGTTGAACCTAGGAATTGAGTGTGCAACTTCACGTTATTTTAATTAAAGGCCTGTGACAAAAGTGCATTTGTTGGAGCTTCATTGTCTCAAGCTTACACATCTAACCGGGTCTCCATTTGACTTTGTATTGTCTAAGAAGTCCACCCACACCTCAACTTCCACAAACTCCTGGGAGTTGCCTCGCTCTGCCTCACAGTCAGAATTCTCCTCTTGCTTCACGTTGCCTCCAAGATTTGAAGTTTTCGTGACTGCAAGGATCCATGCTCTTGGTTCTTTCGGTAAAGTCACGTAGGTAAAGAAAGTTATAAATAAAAAATAAAATATAAATAAAAGATTCAAATAAATAAAGATGTATTTATTTTAAATACATTTTATTTCTTTTAAATATAAATAAAAGATAACTCAATTAAATGTTATTTATTTGATGGTTGCCCATTCATTGCGACTTAGCAACTCACTTTTACAATGGGAAGTTGGACAAGAACAAATTGGTTTCAGAATTAATTTCCGGGTTTTTTTTTCAATCCACGATACAGGAACGAAACATTCCCTGAGGCTTCTAGAGACCCGAGTAAAATCAACATGCCCCTACAAAACGCGTTTCTACAGTGGAGTTTTCAATTGCATAATAAGAATTCCACAAATGCAGGAAGCGATACGATTTTTGTTTGTTTCTTATAAACTGCAATACTCCACACAGCAAGTTGAATTACCTTAAGCTTCGCACCAGCATGAGACTTCACAAATGGCCCACCTTAATGAGTTATCTAACTTGGAGTGGCACGTGTTGTGCAAACGTGATGCACAATCCATTGCCTCTTCCGGGGCATGGTTTGAACATTTCACTTTCACAGTACAAATGAAAGGTGGGAGGAATCCCCTGCCACTCGACGCTCCTTATTCTTCGTGTACTGTGCCCCTTTGTTAAGGGTCATTGACACACACTGCAACGCTACAAGGAATCTGCACGGCGTGTTTATATTCGCCGAGAACATAGCTTCGCTTTGGGGCCGTCCATAAATGACGTCACGCGATTTTGGACGATTTTTACCCCCCCCCCCCCATCGTCACACGGCGTCACAAAAATCAGACCCCCCCCCTCAAATATGACATCACAAAGCTCTGCCCCCCCATCCCCCAAAACCATATTTCCATTTTGAAAATAAAACATGCTTCAAATCGCTTTAAACTATTGTCATTGTAGTGCGTATTTAATGTGGCGCTGCACTCTGATGTTGTAGGAGTGTCGTTATAACAATTAGTGTTGTTATAACAATTCTATATTTATTTAAAATTGCGCATTTTGATGTGACGTCACATTTCTCAACCCCCCCACCCCCCCTTTGTCAAACATCGTCACAAATGTCTAGGTGTGTGACGTCATTTATGGACGGCCCCTTTGACCTTATTCTAAAAGAGGTAAAATGAAGGTTACAAAACACGGACGACTAAACTGGACTTTCCAGTTGCGTGGAGGGGAGGGATACGCCCAACAAGGACACCAAAGCGTCGCGCACAGGCCCGATATCGCTGCCGATACCTGCCTTAGGGGGCCGTCCATAAATGACGTCACGCACCTAGGGGGGGGGGGAGTCAGACATTTGTGACGATGGGGGGGGGGGGGGGCGTTGAAAAATGTGACGTCACATCAAAATGCGCAACTTTAAATAAATATAGACAACACGTTCTACTTAATGAAATAGACGTTTTAATAAATATTTTCTCCTACAACATCAGAGTGCAGCGCCACATTAAATACGCACTACAATGACAATAGTTTAAAGCGATTTGAAGCACGTTTTACTTTTTTGGGGGGGGGGTCTGACTTTTTGTGACGCTGTGTGACGAAGGGGGGGGGGTCAAAAATCGTCCAAAATCGCGTGACGTCATTTATGGACGGCCCCTTACCCCATCTGTCCTGTGAGATGGCACATAAACAACAGCTCGAGGAGGCGCTACTTGCTCCGTGCGATCATTATAGCACTTCTGCTGTCAAGGACTTGGCCAACAAAGGACGTGGGCGAGGACCTTTGGATGAGTTGACAGAGGTGAGCTCAATGTGGGAGCGCTACCATCCAGCACGGGGCCATCGGATAGAGCTCAGGAAAGGTCGTATTAAGTCCTCGTAAAGCCATAAAGATCATGTTGCTTGCGTTAATGTGGGGGGGGGGGGGGGGGGGTCGGCACACATTGGCAGATCCTATTATCGAGACATTCTAAAACTAAAACATTGCTCCAGATATCCACGAAATTACACGCGGTTTGACACTGATAATAGGGTGATTGCTGTCCCACTTTCAGAAAATCTAAGTATCCGTGAAAAATGCAGATAATCAGAATGAATGTACCACGTGGTTCTGGCGTATAAACACGGAATGTAGGGTGTCGGAGCTTGTGCAGATCGACTGGGGATGTGGATAATTTTTGTAGAAAATATGGCAGATAGGCGTTTCCCTGTGCCCTATACACACGTGTGCATCACGCACTCAAAGAAGCACTTTAATTAATATCCAAAATGTCAGTGTCTCGCTGCAGGACATCTTCCTTTTATGCATTTTATACCATTTTAACCAGTTCTCCCTTTGCAAATGAAACGTCTTTCCTCTCGTCTCCTGGTTAACTTCCCCCTAACGAAGTCTCACATCTGCATAACCAGCGTAAATTGTGGAGGGGGGGGGGTTATCTCTGAACAGACTTCCTGAATTACTCGCCAAATCCCTTTGTGAGATGACACACATTGAATAATGTAGATAAATAACAAAACGTTCACTATTATACGTCATCAGAACCATGGTCAATCCACTGCTGGATAAAGGGCTCTCCAAACCGCACACAAGCTGATGTCAGCACTCCATCTCCAAGATGCGATCTTGGGCACATTCACTCCATTCCCCATCACATCATCACCACTGGCCGGGCCGATGATGATGATGTGACGGCGATGGTGATGATGTGACGATGGTGATGATGTGACGGCGATGGTGATGATGTGACGATGGTGATGATGATGATGTGACGATGGTGATGATGATGATGACTAAAGAGCAGCCAGCCGAACAAAATCTCGACACCCAACAAGGAGGCGTTAAAACACATTCCTGCGGAGGGAGCTGGTAGGAACGTTGGGTTGCTCGGTCAATGGCCAGGGTCAACGGCGGCGTGGTGTATTCCGCAAATATGGCCCACTATGAGGGTATGCACAAGCCGGCGGGAGTAGGTTAAACGTTGAGTTTTATAAGGGCACCACGGGGTGACCAGCCCCTCCACACCCAGCCCCACCCCTCTCACCCCCCACCCAACCCCACCCCTCCCACCCTCCACCCAGCCCCACCCTCCACCCTCACCTCCCCACCCAGCCCCTCCCCACCAGCTCCTCCCCACCCTCCCCTCTCCACCCAGCCCCACCCCTCCCATTTTTGGATACAAATGTATGACCCCCCCCCCCACTAGGTGCGTGACGTCATTTATGGACGGCCCCTTAAAATATATATATTTTTAAATAACACAAAACAACTAAGACGTTTCGATCACAACACAAACGATCGTTATTTCCCTTGCACCTATATCTACGTGACTTTACCGAATGACCCAAAGAATGTGAATCCCTGCAGTCACGAAAGCTTTAAGTCGCAAGCTACAGCTTCTCCAAGTTCGGTTTTGGCCTCCTCTTCCACGCCCTCGAGGCGTCTATAGGAGAGATTTTAGAGTCGAGCACCCACATTGTGTTCCCTCCACCACACGGCGGCCTGCCGAATTGCCGAATTGACTTGCTTGTGCCATGCAGCAGAGGGGACAGCTGCAGTTTGGGGAATTGCAATTGTTTCAAATGCCGCGCCCGGAGATCGAACCTGGATTGCAACGTCCGGAAGTGCATGCTAAACCAGCATCCCGAAACATGATTAACTGTACGTACGCATCAATATATACATGTGGATCGTATTTCCTTCCTTACAGTAAAAAAAATATATTTTTATTTTTAAATAACCTTTTATCTTAAAACATAACCTGTTAATTTCACTTTGCCAGAAAGCTTACGTCGGCAGTGGCAGAGCATGCTTGTTAACAAGGACACTCAATTGATTTTGATAACGTTGAAGTGTTGTGTAAAACGAATTATTACTGGCCAAGACTAATTAGAGAATCCATTGAAATTGAGAGAAACAGAAATAACTTCAATCGCTCTGACAGCTACAGGCTTCACCATTGGAACCTCATTTGCCAGTAAAAAATATGATAATAGTTTTTTTTTTACCCTTTTATCTGGCAACAAAACTGACAGGCTTAGTGCGGCCTGGAAGCGTATTATTAAATAAATACAATTACAATTCCTTATAAGGGAAACAAATACCAATGCATAACAATTGAATGATTACCAATCTATAAAATTGCAATGCCCTCCCCCTCTTTGCCTCGAATCACTGCCCCAGATTGAATTAAATGAAGACGTCACCCTGCTGAGGCTGCTCGATTTAAGACCGGAAGCAACAGGAGAGCTTCACCATTCTTGCCCGATGAAGCTGATTGTAATTACCAGCGAAACGTCGGACTACTCACATTTTAAAATGCTGTTGATTCTCTCTTCAACACACCGGTGGGCTAAAGAAGTGAATTATTTCGTCCTTTGAAACAACACGACACTTTTTTTACTGTTTGGCCGTGTCGGGTGGTGGAGGGTTACGACACATTTATAAATAACGCGATCTGACCCAAAAACCTTTATTATGAAGCTGACACTCTCGACCTTACAGCAGATGGCAACGTTCCCTTCGACAGCGGCTGTCGAGAAGCAAACGTCGTGACACCACAACATGAGAAATGATTGCCCCCCCTCTGCTTCGCTTTGCACAGAAGGCAAAAACTCATCAACGACACGAACATTCAGGCCCGCCACACATCGCGAGCGCTCTCCTTTACTCACCAACGAGACCCAGGACGCAAACGGACAGAGGCAGCAGGAACTGATGCGCGTTCAGAAACATCGTCGGTGGCGTTTTCGCGTTGGCCGTGTTCCGCTCCAGAGGACTGAACGCCAAACGCAGATGCAGGCAAAGCCGCTGTGGGTCAGAAATGTGTGTGTGGGCGAGGCGATGCGTGTTCCTAGCCTCCCCCCCCTCTCTCTCGCGCCTCTCTCTGCGTGTGTGTGTAGGGTTGGGTTGTTTCCCGGAGTCGGTCGACGTGAATGCCAAGAAATGACTCTGGATTCTCACTCGCGTGGCAGTCTGATTGGTAGAATAAATCCAGTGGGGGTGATGATGATGATGATGCCGCCGTCTGCGTTGTTCATGGTGCACACGTGCACCATGAACAACGCAAACAAGAACTGAACGCATCCGTCAATTGCACGAAAAGAAAGAATATATCTTCTTGTTTCTTTCGGTAAAGTCACGTAGAAGGGAAGTAATAAAATAATAAAAATAAAACATAATAAAACAATTCTCACGACGTTTCGGCTACAACGCAAGCAGCCGTCTTCAGGTGAAGAAAGAATATATATCCTGTATTTTTGTTCTGTACAGTACTGCTAAGAAGGTGGTGTGGTTTAAGCATGTATTGAGCATTCCCTTGCTGCTGCAATGCCAACAGTATATGTTTAATTACACAAACTGGTTTGTGTATTCTTGGTTCTTTCGGGGAAGTCGCGTAGAAGGGAAATACTAAAATAATAAACATAAAACATAATAAAATAAAATTCTCACGACGTTTCGGCCACAACGCAAGCAGCCGTCCTCAGGTGAAGAAAGCTGTTTGCGTTGTGGTCGAAACGTGATAATTTAATTTTATGTTTTATTTTTATTATTTTATTATGTTCTATTTTTATTATTTTATTATGTTTTATTTTTATTATGTTTTATTTTTATTATGTTTTATTTTTATTATTGTATTATTTCCCTTCTACGTGACTTTACCGAAAGAACCAAGAATATGAATCCTGCAGTCACGAAAGCTTTAAATCGAAACTGGTGTGTGTTCGTCACGATTTTATTAAGCGTCAACTCCATGAACCTCTACCGTGAAGTTTCTTTCAATGGCTTTTTTACATCCCAATTTATTTAATGTTTCTGTAACTTGATTGTAATTAATTATGCGATTAGTATCAACAATCTGCCCGCACAAGGCCAAGGGCACTCACAGACTTTAACACTTTATCAGCACAATGATACCTTTCCATACTATGTTACCGTATTTGTATTTTTATATTATATAATATAGCTATTTAAAATTTAATATTTTATTTTATTAAATTTATTTACATACTTTAGCCCCTTAGTATTACCTTTAGTATAGTTAGACTTGTACACCACTTCGTTAAGATTTAAGATTCCAATGTGTTGAATGTATGCACCTTCCTGCCAAAGGAAATTCGTTGTCTGTGCGAACTTTCATGGCGAATAAACCCTTTCTGATTCTGAGCCAACTTACGCTACAGTGAATGTATTATATTTTAAATATATTTATGTTAAGCAGTTTCTTTTTATTTTGACAGTTATTTTCTGGCACGATTATGTTTGATCTTGATTTGAAGCTTTCGTGATTGCAGGGAATCCATACTCTTGGTTCTTTCAGTAAAGTCACGTAGGTAGAAAATCAAATAAATCACGACGTTTCGGGCGCAACACAAGCGTCATCATGTCCCACCTGATTTATGTTTGCTTCACCCACTGTACTTTTGTTCCTGACGATGTGATGACCCGGCTCACATGCAAATGACTCATCCTGATGTCTTGAGTTAAATAAAACTAAAACTTACAACAATAAAATAATGTTGTCACACCCAACAAGGAGGCGTAAAAACACATTCCTTGCGGAGGGAGCTGGTAGGAACGTTGGGTTGCTCGGTCAATGGCCAGGGTCAACGGCGGCGTGGTGTATTCCGCAAATATGCCCGACTGTGAGGGCAGGCACAAGCCGGCGTGAGTAGGTTAAATGTTGAGTTTGATCAGGGCACCACGGGGTGACCAGCCCCTCCCCAACCAGCCCCACCCCTCCCACCCCCCACCCAGCCCCACTCCACCCTTCCCTCCCCACCCAGCCCCTCCCTCCCCACCTAGCCATTCTCTCCACGACGGACGGACGGACACAATAATCCCTGGTGGGCAGTGTGGAACCTGCTGTTCCTACCTGTATAACACTCTAGGTAACTGAGACTCACACACACGTACACTCACTCTCAGACTCACACACACGCCCACTCACGCTCACACTCTCAGACCCACACACACTCACGCTTACACTCTCAGACTCACACACACACACTCAGCCTCAGACTCACACACACACTCACTCTCACACTCTCAGACTCACATACACACACTCACTCTCACACTCTCAGACTCACACACACACTTACATCTCACACTCTCAGACTCACACACACATACTCACTCCCACACTCTCAGACTCACACACACACTCAATCTCACACTCTCCCACTCACACACTCACTCTCAGACTCAGACTCACACACACATACACTCACTCTCACACTCTCAGACTCACACACACACTCACTCTCAGACTCACACACACACTCACTCTCAGACTCACACTCACACTCTCAGACTCACACACACACTCACTCTCAAACTCACACACACACACACTCACTCTCACACTCTCAGACTCATACACACTCACGCTCACACTCTCAGACTCACACACACTCACGCTCACACTCTCACACACTCACGCTCACACTCTCACATACTCTCAGACTCAGACTCACACACTCTCTCACACTCTCAGACTCACACACACATACACTCTCAGACTCACACACACTCACTCTCACACTCTCAGACTCACACATACTCACACTCTCAGACTCACATACACATACACTCACTCTCAGACTCACACACAGACACTTACTCTCACACTCTCAGACTCACACACACACTTACTCTCACACTCTCAGACTCACACACACACTTACATCTCACACTCTCAGACTCACACACACATACTCACTCCCACACGCTCAGACTCACACACACACACTCACCCTCACACTCTCAGACACTCACACACACACTCATACACTCTCAAACTCACACACATACACTCGCTGTCAGACTCACACACACACTCACTCTCAGACTCACACACACACTCACCCTCACACTCTCAGACTCACACACACACTCACTCTCACACTCTCAGACTCACACACACACTCACTCTCACACTCTCAGACTCACACACACTCACTCTCACACTTTCAGACTCACACTCACTCTCACACGCTCAGACTCACACACACACTCACTCTCACACTCTCAGACTCACACACACATATACTCACACTCTAAGACTCCCACACACATACACTCACTCTCACACTCTCAGACTCACACACTCACTCTCACACTCTCAAACTCGCACATACACTCACCCTCACACTCTCAGACTCACACACACACACTCTCACGCTCTCAGACTCACACACACACACTCACTCTCACACTCTCAGACTCACACACACACTCTCACGCTCTCAGACTCACACACACACTCACTCTCACACTCTCAGACTCACACACACTCTCAGACTCACACACACACACTCACTATCACACTCTCAGACTCACACTCACTCTCAGACTCTCAGACTCACACACACACTCGCTCTCACACTCTCAGACTCACACACACTCTCACACTCTCAGACTCTCACACACACACTCACTCTCACACTCTCAGACTCACACACACTCTCAGACTCACACACACACACTCACTCTCACACTCTCAGACTCACACTCACTCTCAGACTCTCAGACTCACACACACACACTCACTCTCAGACTAACACACACATACACTCACTCTCGCACTCTCAGACTCACACACACACACTCTCTCAGACTCAGACTCACACACTCAGCGCGGCGTTCGGGGGGGGGCAGTTTGATGATTGGGCATGTTTACCCCCCACCCTCCCCGACATCGTCAACCAATCGCGGCGTTGCTCGGTATTCGGTGGGGAGGGGATTGCATGAGTGGGCGTGTTTATACCCCACCTCTACCAATGGCGGCCCCGCTCGGCGTTTGGGGGGGGGGGGGAGTTGGATGATTGGGCGTGTTTACCTTCCCCCCACCCTCCCCGACATCCTCAACCAATCGTGGCCCTGCTCGGCGGTCGGTGGGGGGTGCATGGGTGGGCTGCATTCCGATGCACGACAGACAAATAATCCCTGGTGGGCAGTGTGGAACCTGTTGTTCCTACCTGTAAAACGTTGAGTTTTATAAGGGCACCACGGGATGACAAGCCCCTCCTCACCCAGCCCCTCCCCTCCCTCCCTCCCACCCCCCACCCAACCCCACCCTCCTCACCCAGCCCCTCCCCACCTTCCCCACCCAGCCCCTCCCCACCCTCCCCACCCTCCCCACCCAGCCCCTCCCCTCCCTCCCCACCCAGCCCCTCCCCACCCTCCCCACCCAGCCCCTCCCCACCCTCCCCACCCAGCCCCTCCCCACCCTCCCCTCCCCACGCAGCCCCACCCTCCCCACCCAGCCCCTCCCCACCCTCCCCACCCAGCCCCTCCCCACCCTCCCCTCCCCACACAGCCCCACCCTCCCCACCCAGCCCCTCCCCACCCTCCCCACCCAGCCCCTCCCCACCCTCCCCTCTCCACCCAGCCCCACCCAGCCCTCCCATATTTGAAATGCACGACGGACAGAATAATCCCCCGTGGGCTGGTGTAACCAGGAGGTTACTACCAGTAATATTGTATCAGCTGCCACCATCGCCATCACGCATTACGGCTGATGTACCGTATTCGTATCCAATACAATCTTGCAATGATTTGCCAGTGTACAGTACGGTGTTGCAGTGCATTCATGTTTTTTCTGCAAATGTGATTCGTTATCCAGAAAGACGGGAGGGGGGAGCTTGAGATGATAAGCACCCATTTTGCGTGGGTGTGGTGAAGCAATACATGATGGCACGTGAAGTGCGAAACATTTTCCAGCTAAAGTACAAATAAAACAAATTCTGTTTGGGGCTCATCCCCCAGCTGACCAGCCATAGACAACGTGCACAAGAAGGAGAGATATGTATTTCCACTACAAAACTTTTTGACAGCGGCATTGTATGACATTCCACGATGAATTC